ATGGATGCCCAGGAGGTTCGGTTCCTTCTCAACTTCCTCCTCGCACTGCTCCTCCCGTTCTTCTTCCCACTCCTCCGGCTCGCCGGCGGTGTTCGGCGTCAAGGCCGAGCCCGCAGCGGAGACACCGCTGGGATGGCGCACTCACAGCGCTGGCATCGTGATAAACGAGGGCGGCCGGCGCGCCTCCTCCTCGGCTCCTCTGCGCTTCGACAAACCGAAGACGGAGCCGGGGCTCGCACCCGTGAAAACGGAGTCGGGGCTCCCCACCGTGAAGACGGAGCACGGCGCCGGGGAGCTCGACGAGGCGGCGGCCCTGAAATGGGCGCGCGATGACTGGCTGAAGATGGAGATGAAGAGCCAGTGCCATGCTTTGGAGCACTTCGAACATTGCCGCCGGGGCCGCGACGAAGGAGGTGTCATTGTCCTCGACGACACGCCGCCACCGCCACCAGTCCGCCATGGCGACACCGGGCAGGGGTCCAGCAGGGGCGGCCGCGTCAAGGAGGAGAAGACCGCCGCCGACGATGACTGCGAGGATGGCGGCGACTACACCGCGTTCATCAACTTCTTCGGCCCGTAGTTGTAGTTTCAGCCTTTTTTAAATAAATTTGCTATGTAAAATGTCGAACATGTTTAATATGTGCCAAGTTTGCCGAATTTTAGCCGAACTTTGTCGAATGCTTTTTTTTTAATACGTAAATGGCGTCTGGGGTTGCTCTGGGATCGGCGACTGGGAACCCACTCGTCTCCAGGCGGCGATTTTACGCGCCCCTCGGGCCAACGGTTGGAGATGCTCTTAGTCTCGGGCGGCCGACGTGCACCGTACTGTGTCAGTGCGTCACACTCCGGTGAGCTACTAGTACAACTCCATACCTCCAAGGTAGCACGTGCGGCAGGGCCGGATGGGCGGCGGCTCGTGCCCTGGCGCCGCCCACCCGCACGCGTCCACGGCCCGCCGCTATGCTAGTACACTAGGTACCCTGCCCCGGAGAGCAGCTGCGTGGGACGGTGGTCCGGCTTGTCAACTGACCGCGCCCACGCCGCGCGCCCACAGTCCAAAAAGAAAAGAGAACAGAACGGAAAGAGACAAGTCAAGTCACACTCGATCACACCACGCTTTTCATACAGCGATGGAAAGAAGTCCGGGGAGCAATGCCTTTCCCTTCCCAGGGGACACGTGTCCATATTTTAGAGTGAGGTCACTTACGCAATAAAATGAAAATCGTGAGGTAGCCACGTGTATTTGACTATTTGTATAGAGTGGACTCCCATTTTGCCCCTAGTTTCAGGTAACAATATTTATCCCGTTTACGAGATTTTTCACATGTTCAACCAGTCTTGTGCCATAGATTAACAAATTTTGTTATTTTTTTATGTGCCGGTCGTGCATGCCACGTAGGCCGTTACGTTTGCATCCTGTTTGTTCTGCTAGACTAGACTATACCTGGCCATCTGTCAGGCCGGGCCGGGCCTACCAAAGCCCGATGCAAAAAAGCCAGGCCTGAGCCCGGTCCGGCCCTGCTGTCGGGCCTAAAAATCCGGCCCGAGCCTGGCCCATCACGCTAATAGCTCGCCGGGCCTCGGGCCTTGGGCCGAGCCTCTTTGTTGACGCGCAAATACGACAGGCTCGAGCCTGGCCCTGCCGTCGGGCTGGAAACCTAGGCCCGAGCCAGGCCCGTGGACAAGGTCGGGCCGGGACGGGTCGGGTCGGGCCGACCGGGCCGGGCTGTCCATGGCCGGATCTGGGACCCAACCAAACCGCTTACACTGCACCTGGTCCAACGGCATGATCTGCTGACCGTGATCAGAAGAAGAGACGAGTTCCTTGGCTATCACCTATGAAATGAGAGAGAGAGAGAGAAGGAAGGTCCC